TGCATTGTCCGCGCGGGACCTTTCCATATTCGGCGACCTCATGTCCTCTACCCATCTCTAACATGCTGGGTTTAAATCTCCATCGTTAAGAACTTAAGCGACCATCACCATGCTAATTACTCGACTAATTAATGGTAATTGGAAACGGAACCGTTTTGCTCTTAGAAGTTGAGAGTTCTTTCGTTTCCGATTTCTAGAGATTTAGGAGAGTAACTTTAGCCTCGATGACCAACCTCGAGAACCGGACCGGCGTTAAGTAGCGTAGTTTCCGAACTGCAAGCACTTGTGCCTTTCTGCGACAGCGACGTCAGATGTGAGATCAAATGATTTGTGGATTCGGTTTTTCCCGAGCCACTCTCACCGCTGATCACCACACATTGACTCTCTTTGATGCGGAGCATGCTAAACAGGCACTGTCAGATTGAGAATTGGAATTCTGTGCTCTTGCGGTGAAGACAACATTTGCGCGTGAAAATCAGCAGTGGCTCACTATTGACGAAAATGTGAGCTTTATGATCAGCTCCGTCGTAGGCATTACAAAATTGGCAGAGGTTCGTGCAAGTGTTGGCAGCACGAGGCACTATTAAGCATAAAGTACGTACGCTGAAATTTTATACTTACTTATGATAGGTGACATCGGCAATCGCGAAAATATGCGGAGGTAAACTTCCAAGTTTCCGGCTTTGGGAGTATAACCTCGCATACTTAGGGTTGTATATGGGGAAGAAGCTGAAACATAACATACTAGTGAATGCTAGAATCAATGGATCTGTGTTTTCAGAACCTGAAAGGGTTGACAGCGACCAAAATTGGTCCGATGTATGTGTAGATGTGCCCACTGTTAAAACGATCCTTCAAATTATCAAGCAGGGTCTGCTCAGTCAGCTCGGGAAGCATACAAAGATCTGCGTACTCGCGATCCTTGAAATTCAGTTATTGGAAGTTTCCTCAATTTTGGAAAAATGATATGTGGAGACTCACATGAGGTTGCTGGAGGAACCTGGCTAGAAATGAGTCTATGGTGCTGGCAGCTTCGGCTGAGCCAAAACGAGTGCATGACGAGCCAGTTCGAGCTCCTTTATGCCTACAAACATCATCGTAAGTTTTAT